CTCTCTCCCTCGCTCTCTGCTTTGTCTGTCTATCTCGGCTCTATTTGTGTGTGTGCGACTTGCGATGGTTGTAAGGTAATTAAAAGCTCTACGATCAAAGCTTGTACGATCTGCTTCGCTCTGTCCGTCTCTCCCTCGCTCTCTTCTCTCCCTCGCCCTGTCTCTCGCTCTCTCCCTCGCTCTCTGCTTTGTCTGTCTATCTCGGCTCTATTTGTGTGTGTGCGACTTGCGATGGTTGTAAGGTAATTAAAAGCTCTACGATCTGCTCTACGATCAAAGCTTGTACGATCTGCCCATCTTGGACAGGCAGATCGTACTTGCGATCATCGCAAGCCCGCCCCTCTGAGGGGAGGGCTTCCGATGACTGCAATGTTGAACGCGCAGTGTGCGCTTTTGAACCGGCCCGTGTGGCATTTGTCTTATGAGCACGCCACAAACAGTAGAAACGGTCGCACGCCTTCCATACTGTCGCTCTGTCTGTCTCTCTGCTCTGTCTGTCTCTCTCTCTCTCTGCTCTGTCTGTCTCTGTCTCTCTGCTCTGTCTGTCTCTCTCACTCTCTGCTCTGTCTGTCTCTCTCACTCTCTGCTCTGTCTGTCTCTCTCACTCTGCTCTGTCTGTCTCTCTCACTCTCTGCTCTGTCTGTCTGTCTCCCTCTCAGCTCTGTCTGTCTCTCTCTCAGCTCTGTCTGTCTCTCTCTCTCAGCTCTGTCTCTCTCTCTGCTCTGCCTGTCTCTCTCTCTCTGCTCTGCCTGTCTCTCTCTCTCTGCTCTGCCTCTCTCTTTCTCTGCTCTGCCTGTCTCTCTCTCTCTGCTCTGCCTGTCTCTCTCTGCTCTGTCTGTCTGTCTCTCTCTCTGCTCAGTCTGTCTGTCTCTCTCTCTGCTCAGTCTGTCTCTCTCTCTCTCTGCTCAGTCTGTCTCTCTCTCTCTCTCTCTACTCTGTCTGTCTCTCTCTCTCTCTCTACTCTGTCTGTCTCTCTCTCTCTCTACTCTGTCTGTCTCTCTGCTCTGTCTGTCTCTCTCTCTGCTCTGTCTGTCTCTCTCTCTGCTCTGTCTGTCTCTCTCTCTGGTCTGTCTGTCTCTCTCTCTGGTCTGTCTGTCTCTCTCTCTGGTCTGTCTTTCTCTCTCTCTGGTCTGTCCCTCTCTCTCTCTCTGGTCTGTCTGTCTCTCTCTCTGCTCTGTCTGTCTCTCTCTCCCTGCTCTGTCTGTCTGTCTCTCTCTCTGCTCTGTCTGTCTGTCTCTCTCTCTGCTCTGTCTGTCTCTCTTTCTCTCTCTGCTCTGTCTGTCTCTCTCTCTCTGCTTTGTCTGTCTCTCTCTCTCTCTGCTCTGTCTGTCTCTCTCTCTCTGCTCTGTCTGTCTCTCTCTGCTCTGTCTGTCTCTCTGCTCTGTCTGTCTCTCTCACTCTGCTCTGTCTGTCTCTCTCACTCTCTGCTCTGTCTGTCTGTCTCCCTCTCAGCTCTGTCTGTCTCTCTCTCAGCTCTGTCTGTCTCTCTCTCTCAGCTCTGTCTCTCTCTCTGCTCTGCCTGTCTCTCTCTCTCCTCTGCCTGTCTCTCTCTCTCTGCTCTGCCTGTCTCTCTCTCTCTGCTCTGCCTCTCTCTTTCTCTGCTCTGCCTGTCTCTCTCTCTCTGCTCTGCCTGTCTCTCTCTGCTCTGTCTGTCTGTCTCTCTCTCTGCTCAGTCTGTCTGTCTCTCTCTCTGCTCAGTCTGTCTCTCTCTCTCTCTGCTCAGTCTGTCTCTCTCTCTCTCTCTCTACTCTGTCTGTCTCTCTCTCTCTCTCTACTCTGTCTGTCTCTCTCTCTCTCTACTCTGTCTGTCTCTCTGCTCTGTCTGTCTCTCTCTCTGCTCTGTCTGTCTCTCTCTCTGCTCTGTCTGTCTCTCTCTCTGGTCTGTCTGTCTCTCTCTCTGGTCTGTCTGTCTCTCTCTCTGGTCTGTCTTTCTCTCTCTCTGGTCTGTCCCTCTCTCTCTCTCTGGTCTGTCTGTCTCTCTCTCTGCTCTGTCTGTCTCTCTCTCCCTGCTCTGTCTGTCTGTCTCTCTCTCTGCTCTGTCTGTCTGTCTCTCTCTCTGCTCTGTCTGTCTCTCTCTCTCTGCTCTGTCTGTCTCTCTCTCTCTGCTCTGTCTCTCTCTGCTCTGTCTGTCTCTCTATGCTCTGTCTGTCTCTCTCTCTGCTCTGTCTGTCTCTCTCTGCTCTGTCTGTCTCTCTCTCTGGTCTGCCTGTCTCTCTCTGCTCTGCCTGTCTCTCTCTCTCTCAGCTCTGTCTGTCTCTCTGCTCTGTCTGTCTCTCTCTCTCTCTGTCTCTCTCTCTGGCTGTCTCTCTCTCTCTGCTCTGTCTGTCTCGCCCTGTCTCTCGCTCTCTCCTTTGTCTGTCTATCTCTGCTCTATTTGTGTGTGTGGGTCTCTCTCTGCTCTGTCTGTCTCTCCCTCACTCACTTCTCTCCCTCGCCCTGTCTCTCTGCTTTGTCTGTCTATCTCTGCTCTATTTGTGTGTGTGTGTCTCTCTCTCTCGCTCTGCTCTGCCTGTCTCTCTCTGCCTGTCTCTCTGCTCTCTCTGTCTCTTTCCCTCTCCTTCTCTCTCTCTGATCTGTCTGTCTCGCTGGGCTGCCTCTCTCTCTCACCTCACTGTCACGCTCTCATTCGGCTTTCCACAGTGCACTTTTTAAACACAATTAAATGTTCCACAAAAACAAGTGAATGTTAAATATACAAAAGCAATCCACCATGTGAAAAAGATTATACATAAATATAAAGTTGAGAACTACAATTCACATCAGTCCCCCATATAATCTTTAATTGTGTTCTTGAACAAACTAATCCATGATACACCATGTAATGTGAACTGTAGTTCCTAAGCTACAATTCCACCATGTGAATTGTAGTTCCCAACTTATATTTATACACTGCATATTCTTTTTCACATGGTGGATTGCTTTTGTACATTTAACGTTCACCTGTTTTTGTGGCACATTTGATTGTGTTCAATAAGTACACTGTCAATTATTTGGAATTATTTAGTTAAACATAGGGGGTATATCAGTTTCACAGCACGGTAGGAACCATAATATATACAAATTGTCCAGGGAACAGCGCAGAGTGACCAGGAGATTAATTGTTTTTTTTTTTTACCTATGACTACAGTTGGAGGATTGTTGTATGTGATTGCTAAGGAAATCAGTTATATTTTGTCTCCAGCAATCACTCAGAACATTTCCCCAACTGTAGTAACAGGTAAAAAAACCAAACAAGTCTCCAGTTCACTTTGCACTGCCAAGGAGGTGTTACCACTATGAATATTAATGAAGGCACGTACATGAAGGAAGCAAAGCATTGTGGGAAAAGGAGTTTTTCCACGCCCTACATTGTAGTTTCCACTGTGCAAAACATTCTATAGGGCTTGTTCACACCAAGTACGGAGCAGATGCAGATCAGTTTAAGAATACATCAAAAATGCATTTAATGTATTCCTATGGTATTTTGGGCTCTAGTTCACACCACAGCATTCAGTTCCAGTGCATGTGGGAAAACTGCAGCAGGCACTATTTTCTCTGCTTTGGAATGCACCAAAATGCATCAAACTGTGCGTTCTATACTATTGAACTGTGCATTCTATACTGCTGAGCTGTGCATTCTATACTGCTGAATTGTGCGTTCTATACTGCTAAACTGTGCGTTCTTTATTAGTGAAAGGCGAGGAGGCGGCCAAGCCCCCTTGCAGCGGAGGAGGCCCTGCCCTAGCAGCACAGGGCCCCAGCATTGCTGATCCAGCGACTTCGAGACAGGCTGAGGCCTCATCAGCACCTCTGCTCGTCTGATGTCGGACCGGCCGGAAGTGACGTCACTTCCGGCCAGTCTGGCGGCAGAGGAGGCCAGGTGTAAGAGGAGCTGGGAGGGGGGATGCAGCCCTGACCAGCCCACCTGAGACACCTGCAGAGCCCTTTATAGAGAGTCTCAGGTGTGCTGTGCAGCATCTATGGTGGGCTCGTCAGCGGGTCACTAAGCCCTGCGTCCAGCGGGTCACTAAGCCCTGCGTCCAGCGGGTCACTAAGCCCTGCATCAAATTCATATACTGTACTGCATTGCTGTATAATGTATTGCTGGGATTTGACTGAGGGGGGACATTAGAGTGTAAGCTCCTCTATACAGACACTGATGTGACTGGGGCTGCAACAACTAATCGACTAAGTCGATCAAAATCGATGATGGAAAATGTTGTCAACGTTTTCCATCATCGATAAGTCGGCTTTCGTTGCCTCTGTTCATGGCTCCACGCGCGCCGCATGCGTCAAGACGCCCGCTTCACCTCCTCACCCAGCTCTGAGCTCTCTCCCGCTGCTGTCCGCTAAGACGCTGCTTGCCAAGATGATCACGTTGTTGCAGGAAGACTGCAGCGTGGGGGAACGGCAGCTGCCGACAGTACCAAGATCTCGGGGGAAGAAGTAAAGTTGCTTGAAGAGTGTGCAGGTAAGACTGCTGGTACTCCCACCCCCCACCCCCTACATGCTGTATAAATGTATTGCTGGGATTTGTTGTATTCCTCTATAGCTGATGGTGTATTGCGCTTTATATGTACCATCAACTATAGAGGAATACAAATCCCAGCAATACATTATACACTGTATCTATGTTGTAATGCTGGGATGTGTTGTTTTCCTCTATAGCTGGTGGTATTCTGTATTGCGCTGTATAATGTATTATTGGTGGGATTTGTAGTTCTCTGTAGCCGGTGCATTGATTGCTGTACTTCCACCGCTCCAAGCTTGACTGACGTGACTGGCTCAGTGTTCTCTGTACTGCACTGCGGTATATGTCAGAGCTATATGTGTATAATAATAGTATGACTGGCTCAGTGTGGCGGCGGTGCGGGGGGGCCCAGCCTAAAGCCGTGTAAGGGGCCCCAAAATTTCTGATGGCTGCCCTGCAAGTTTATATAACTTTACTCTACTGTTTTTCCTGTAATATTCATTTTGTTTTATTTTTTTTCTCTGCTTTTTGTTTCTATTGTTTCTAACAGGTGTCTGGACATGAGGGCGCCATGAAGATTGTAAAAAAGCTTCAGTCTCATGGAGTGAAACTTGCATTTGTAGTGGATGAGGGGTTAGCAGTCCTAGATGGTGTTATTCAAGGAGTAAAGAGACCAGTGGCTCTGTAGGTTCATTATAATATGTAAACAGAACACGGTATATAACCATCTGCCTAGAGAAAAGTGTCATGCCTCATGAAGAAATCTAAGGCTTGTGCTGTGATAATTGTCCTCCACTGTCTTGACATCTCAATATTTTACAGGTTTATCCATAAATGTATGGGTATCAGGTTGGTTATGGTAGGAGCCCAGATGCAGGGAACTTGCCAGTACAATTGGTACCTCTACTCTCCTGTGTAGTGGTAGCCAGTACAGGGGCAGTCCAAGAGCACAGTAGCAGAATCAGAAATCAAAGTCATAGAACATAGCTGAGGTCGGTGCAGGCAGCAAAGTATCGGCGGTCACGGAACAGGCCAGTTCCTCGGAACAGGCCGCCTCTGCTTGAAGAGTTTTGCTTTGAGCTTCCATCTCTGCTTCTTTCTTAGCAAGGGAGCTTTGCGCTTTTCTTGATTCAGCATCAGCGCGGGCCTCTATTAGCTTGTCGCTTAATGTTGAACTTCTGGAGCGAGAGGATCTAGAAGAACGTGCAGTGTGCTTGGTTGATGTGGATCTGTGAGATCTGGTCTCCTGCAGTTGAGCAATGCGGAGTTCTGCCTTACACTGAGCATTTTGCACTAAGAGGTCCCTTTGTTGGTTCAGTGCATCAGTCCTGGTCAGTTCTGCTGAAGACTCCTCTATATTACAGTCCTGTAAGACAGCTGAATATTTTGCAAACAGCCGCTGGTAGCGTTCATACGCAGCAGATAGGTGATCTAAAAAAACAGGTGCATCATGACCAAAGGCCACTAGATGGCAGCATAGGAACTAACATATAAAACATCCATAGAAAATGGTATAGAGAAAACGATCTGTATAAAACTATCTACTAACATTAATGTAATAACATATTCTATGCCCCATTGGGGCGGCACACGCTTAATGCTTTGTTTTTTAGCTATGAAATTGCAGATTATTGTTTAGCACTGATTTCTTGCTGCAAAATAGGGTCCTGCCAGCATTAGAAAATGCTTCATGAACTGTAATTTATGCAAGTGAAAAGTCAACAACCATATAGACAGAATTCCCAGTGTTTTTCCAGGTGTGGTTTTTGTAAAAAAAAAAGCGTGTTCTATAATCAGATACAAATGTTGCTCTATTTCCGCAGAGTTGGCACAACTGAGAAAGGAGCTATCACACTCAACTTGACTGTAAACCAGCCACCTGGCCATTCTTCAATGCCTCCTGCTGAGACTTGCATCGGGATCCTTGCAGCAGCTGTGTCCAGGTGAAGCTCTGTAATATAGTAGAAAGTAGTAAAGTAATTGTCTGTCGCTGTCTGTGGGCCCCCACCTTTCTAATATATTGAAGAGTAGGGATGAGGTTCAGGCTCAGATTTGGCCAGTTTGCCCACTTATCCACCCAAACCTCCTGCTGATGCACTTCCACATCTACTTCTGCTTTAATCCCTTCTTAAGTCCCCTTTTGTAAATTAAAATATATCTAAATATCACAATATAACAAGAGTGTAATATATTGCAGTCCTTAGTTGTGGAGGCTACAAAAGTTTTATTTTTTTAGGCTAAGTAGATTTTCTGCAAGTCCAGAAAAATACCTGTTTACATATATTTAGCACTTAGGTTTAAAAAATACTTTAAGGGAGAAAGTATGTGTTCTTTTTTATTTCATTCACAAGCTCAAGCCTAGGACAAAGCTGCTGCTGGTGGCCTTGGGCCCAGGAGTGTGGCTCAATAACCAATCTGTGCGGCCGATCGTGTTAATACCATGATTAACCAATCATGAGCGTGGCTCAATAACCAATCTGTGTGCCTGATCGTGTTACTACCATGATTAACCAATCATGATGAATACAGGTAAAGTTTTCTAAAGTGACAAACTTTACTGATTTCCTTTTATACTATAATTCCCCCTCCATCTCTTGAGGACAGTTTCTGGTGTCAGGGAGAAACAAGAAATTGTTGTGATAAATTGTATAAAAAAAATATAAAAATGGTATGATTGTTTCCCATAACGTCTTCCAGGACAGCATCACGAGATGGAATCTCCTCCCCCAAACACAGGAAACACGTCACCCAATAGCTTTAAAAATAGCAATTAAAAAGCTCTTCACCAGTCCCTCAGTCTTTGTGTTTTCTCCACCTGGGGTCCCTTGGTGATGGACGCTTTGGTGTTAAGGAGCACTCTTATAATCTGGGTAGTGAGCAGATTATGGCTCCTTGGTCTTCTCTTGCAGGCTGAAGCTTCGGGATAAAACAAAGGTGGCCCCAAAGAAAAAATGTGCAGTCAAGCCAAGCTCTAAATCTGTGTGCCAGAAATGTATTGACAGTCTGCTTAAAGAGGAATCCACAGCTGCTTGCAGTAACCTATTAGCAACTGTGAAGGAGGAATTATCTTCCACTTTTCATTCATTCAGATCACTGCTGGAGGGTTTCAGGGCTCCAGCACCTCCGCTTCTGTGCCATTTGCTGCTCCTATTTGCACTACCCAAGTTGGCACAGTGGGGTCCTAAGGGAACCAGGTCCTTCACATTATGGTTCGTCATCAGAGGAACTAAGTACCCAGGATGACGTTTCGGCCATTTCCAGGTATAAACTATCTTTGGAAGATGTGGATGACTTGCTTGCTGCAATTTATAGTACGTTAGAGATTCAGGAAGGGCATATGCAGTTGTCCAAACACGAGAAAGAAAGGAGGGGGTATCAGCGGTTACAACTTAAAAGATCTAAGGTGTTTCCAGTACATACGGTTTTATCTGAGGCTATTCTCAGAGAATAGGCTGACCCTGAGAAGAAGCCTCTCAGGTCGGGTAATCTGAAACGCCGGTTTCCGTTTGACGAGGATCCTGCTTTGGTTTGGAACAAATCTATATATATTATATAATTATATTATGCAGCCACTCACCCAGGGATTAGAGGTCATGTAGGGATCCAGTTCCAGGAGGACAGGACCAGTTCCAGTCACCCCCAGAAAGTTCTGGTAGCGGAGCCACAGATGCACAAAAAGGTCCAGCAGGAATTTTGTATCTATAACAAACCGTGATTAAAGTTTTCCTCTATGTTTAGTCCCCTTCAATAACCCTTATCTTTCATCCCTGTATATATGTATATAGGAGAGTTAACAACCATCCCCTTATCCTTATAGCTTTATGTGTCCAGTGTTCATCTATATATACTTATCCCTCCTTATGTGTTCAATATAATTCACTATTTGATTATCACCTATTAATTATTCTTACATTCATAATGTTATTCGTTAGATTCATTGTCCTCTGTGTCTAGCATGGTAGCTGTGTATCCATTGGTGATAGTCCAAAAACACTGTTATATATCTCCTTAGACTTTTTTTGAGAAAACGTTATGGGTGCAATTAAGTTATGTTTATTATTATGTGCCCATAATAAATTGGTACACCTTGCAATATTGGCACTGCAAGGTGTACCACTATTTAAAAAACAAAACAAAATACAAATAATTAAGTGCCCATATATTGTTTACCTTCAAAATATGCAAAAAAAGATTCTCCTCCTCGAGATCCACCCGTTTGTTCTTAGTTTCCTGTTACGTCCTATCTGTGTCCTCCTCTCCTGTATGTGTCTCTCGCTTTCATGTGTGCCTCTCACTCACCCTCCGTGTATTGTTCCTCTGTCCCCTTATAAGCATCCACCCCCCGCTGATGCCACGCTAGAATGGCGTGTGACATCATCGGGGGTGTGGCATCAACGCGCAGCCGCACAGGTCCAGTCCCTTCTCGGTTTTTGTATACAGGTTGCATAGCAACCCTGTTGAGTCCGGTGATCTGTCGATAGTAAAAACGTATCGAGTTGTGGGACCACATGACTTCCGGTTTCCTTAGAAGTACGAGTTTTGGGCAAGAAATTTGTTGTGCACAAGCGCCATCCGCAGCATTGCCCTATACACATACACCAAAGCAATAAAGTAATAAAATGAAGTTGGATCACAGTAATCAAGCACGTTATTTATCTCCGGTGCCCCACTCAATATGGCCGCCGCTTGAGTGGGGCACCGGAGATAAATAACGTGCTTGATTACTATGATCCGACTTCATTTTATTACTTTATTGCTGTGGTGTATGTGCATAGGGCAATGCCGCGGATGGCGCTCGGGCAGAAGACGTTTTGTGTGCAAACCTCGTAGTTCTAAGGAAACCGGAAGTAATGCGGTCCCAGAACTCGATAAGTTCGAACTTTCGATCGATCACCGGCGGAGCTGAGCTAGACAAGCTCCGCCCCTTCTCTCGATACCATATGTTTATTTAAAGCCGATCTGCCCTCTCTTTACCTGGCAGAGAGGCATTGTGACTCTGGGTATGGCGTGCTCAGATGCGCATAGACGCCCATATGGCTCCACCGCTCGAACTGCTCCCCAAAATGGCTTGATCCAAGTATCGGTAATTGGTATCGGCAAGTACATGAGGGGATGCACTTGTACTTGGGCCTGAAAAAGTGGCATCAGGATATATAAATATATATATGTGTGTATTGTGCCCTTTTTTTGTGTGTATTGTGCCCTTTGTATTTTAAGCAATTTGCTTTCAGCTATTTCAATGTTTTTTATGAAAGGGTTATTCACGTGTGGAAAAGGTGAATGTCTTTTTTCCTGCATTTGTCAAACAAAAAATACTTTGTATTTTATTGAATTTATTGATCAGTTCTGTGCAACCTATGTATGTTTATATATGTTTAAGGGTGAACTCCAGGCAATTAATGCAATTATGGATTTATTAATAAACCATACCTTTTTTAAGGCAACTAGTGTAAGATTTTATATCGGGCAATTCCTTGTACAGGAGTGGGAGAAGTAGGGGTAGAACTGAGAGCTATTTAGGTGTGCTGCATGCAAATGTGCTGAAAAGGAACATGCTGGAAGGTGGTGTAAGCAGAGGTAGTTTGCTGCGACTAATTCACTGAGGGTTGGGCTATGGAGGTGGCACCAATGTTTTTTTAATTGGAACAGAGCAATTGGTGTCATCTGTCTGGATGTGTTCTGTGACAGGGCTGTGGAAACTGAGGACATGAAGGACAAGAATTCAAATCCTCTGGTGGGCAGAACAGCTGCATTATATGAATTTCATCTTTTTGCCTGGAGTTCAGCTTAATGCCATACATTTATTCCTTTTTTAAAAAGTTCTCTGTCTTATTTTCACAACTACAAAGGTTAGAAAAAAATCAAATGCCAAATATGTTTGGTGGCGGTCCTGAGGCTTCCATGTTTCAGCAGCTCTCAGGAGAGGTAAGACTGAACTTTGCTATTTTATACATTTTGCACTAGCAACCCTCAAATACACCAGAGACAGGCAAATCTAGAGATCATCCCAGGCTCCATTTATTATAGAATATGATGGAAAAGGCTTGTTGCACTCCTTACCAGGAAGTTCCGTAATCGGAATGACTGCGTATGGCGCCGCCAATGGCACACAATATGAGAAATGTCACCAGCACACCGAGTTCCTTTCAAGGATAATCAATCATTCCTATGCCTGTGCGGCCCCGAAAACGCGCTTGTGTTTTTGACATAAGTTTTCAATAAACCCACGATTGATTATCCTGGAAAGGAACTCAGTGTGCTGGTGACATTTCTCATATTGTGTCCATTTATTCCTTATTAAAAAATAAATATCCAGCAAAATCTTAAATTCAAAGAATTCCAGTAACTGATTTGGAAATCTCAAGTGTATTCTAGTACATAAAGACAGTCAGGGCTTGTTTTAGATAAACTGGTAACATAAGATCAAGCTGGAGCCTCCTTGGCTGAAATACTGCATGCGCTCCAACACAACCCAGGTAAAAGGGTCAGAATGCTCTTTTTTATGCATCTACAGTATCTACATTTCAGATTTAAAGTGTATTTTTATTTTTTATTTTTGCATAGAATTCAGAAGGGTTAGATCCTATGTGAGGTTTCTATTGATGTCTGTGTCCCCACTGAGGAGATTCACTTTCCCTTTTTGTCTTGGTGACCATTGCCATCAGGGCAGCTATCAGGGGGGTATGGCCATCACTAATGTAAGGGGCCCCAGGCGGCTGGGGGGGCCCGAGCTCCGACTGAGCACTTTTAAAAATAAATTAGTATGTACAGGCAAGTTGGTACGGTCCCGGCCCCCCCTGTACAATTGGTACGTGCAGGAAGGGTTTTTTTTTTTTCTCAAAGCGCAGAGCTAGGCATGCAGGAGAGGAGCACAACTGCTGGACTGTAAAGGTAAGTTTTTTTTAAAGCAGCTGCAGAGGGAATTTGCCGAAAATTAATTTTTAGTCGCATTTTAGTTATCAGATTAAGTTTTGTTTTAGTCGACTAAAATCTAATAGGTTTATTTTTAATGTAATTTATGCAATTCTCTAGCATTTCCAAATTCATTTCATTATATATCCCTGGAGTAATTTTTCATTTGATTTAACTCTTATTTTTTTAAATGTTTTCTTTATCTTCATTGCTATCACATGGGGAGGGGGGTGGGGCTCACAGGCCCCCTATGTGATGGCACATTGGAGGTGACGGGTTCTCCTTTCCCCTTCACTGGATTCAGCTGCTGAGGGAGCTGAATGTCAACACAGCAGGCATTTAGCTGCTGCGTTAACAGGCTGGGAGCAATAGCCAGCCTCTTATTGCTTAGTTTAAATTGCAATAGCAGGCTGGCTATTGTACCCGCCCACTGCCTGCTGTCAATCAGCAGAGGAGGGAACTGAAGGAGAAAGTTCCCTATCAGGTCTTCTGCTGATTGACAGCAGGCAGTTGGTGGGTGCAATAGCCAGCCTGATATTGCAATTTAAAATATCCAATAGCAGGCTGGCTATTGTTTCCAGCTGCTGATTGGAGACTTGACACCGGTGATAGAACACCGCCAGAAGAGGAGGAACCGGGCAGAAGAGAACAAGGTGGCCAGAGAAGGAGGAACGGGGTGGCCAGAGAAGGAGGAACGGGCAGCAGCGGAGGTACAAGGGGGAGCAGTGGGGGAATGCAGTGACAGTCTCCCCTCCCTGCTTGTGCCGGGTGCATTGGTCTGTGTTCCCACTGCCGATATCGGCGGGGAGAGCAGCGGGGATTAAGAGGAACACAGACCTCTGCAGCCAGCACCAGTGGGGAGGAGAACATTGATGAAAATTGGGTACCGGACGAAAATCGTTTTCATCCCATTAACTACTCTTTAATTTAGCTTTTATCACTGAAAAACGGGCAAAAAACTTTCGCCGACGAAATGAACACTGCTTGAGAGTCCACACTGGCCACCAGAGAGCCCGCACACCCCCCCTGAAACCCCACAAAACCCTCCTGAGACCCTGGCGACATCAGACAATTAACCCGGAGGAACACCACAGGGTATGTAGCTTCATAGTATTCTGCATTGCTGTATAATGTATTGCTGAGATTGTTAGTCTCTCTCTATAACTTGGAGTCAGTGGCAGTTCTACCAGACTCACAGCTTCAACCAGGCCCTGGCCCTCCACCACTGACTCCAAGCTGTAGAGAGACTACAAATCACAGCCCGGACCGGAGGAAGAGGGCCCTGGTGACCTTCGACATTTCCACCAAAAGGCCCACCGAAATCCTCAGCACTAGGCCCGTAATGTTCTAAATTCGGCCCTGGGCCCAGGCCTAAAGCTGTGGAAGGGGCCCCAAAATTTCTGATGGCCGCCCTGATTGCCATTAAGATAGAAAGTATAGGTAAATCTAAACTTTAGAGTGGCCACCAGAGCAAGAGGTGAAATTCTACATTAAGGACACCTGTTCCTATGACAGCTCTTTAAAACGGGGAATTTGTTCAGTTTAGAAAGATTTCATGGGGGGCGTGTCCTGCTAATGGCGGAGTAAGTCGCAAGGCTTGAGAGCTCCATGGTACACCCAACTTACAGGCAAACTAACACTACTTATACCACACCATAGAGACCTACCCAACGATGTCAAAGAGCAGGAAGGATGGTGGCCCTCCATCGGCACCCCGTCTTTGCAGCGGCATTTCTCTTCCACGCGGAAAGGGACCCGCAGCCGAGACCAATCCAATATGATGGCGGAGGCTGGGCCGCCATCCTCACCACGAGGCACAGAACGATCAGGCGATGCCCCAGTGAGGTGCACCCGGGCTCACAATCACCCCGGATGTATGACTCGGATTCCACCGATGGGGATCAGTACCCAGCCCGCAACCCTCCAACGGATGTACCGCTGGAGTTCCGGGCCCTTCTGAAATACTTACCTACGAAGGAGGACTTTGCGGCCCTAGTCACGAGAGTGGAGGCCGCACTCCAGCTAGACTTGCGTAAAGTGCGCCAGGAGGTACAGGCAGTGTTCGTGGAGGTGTCCACGGTTTCAGTGTCCTGTGCGGCGATTGATGCCTGGGTCCAGCGCCTCGAACAGGCCCAGCTGGGGCCTTCCCACCAGCTCGCGACCCTCCAACTGCAAATGGAGGACCTGGAAGATCGCAACCGCCGCCAGAATATTCGGATCCGGGGGCTCCCGGAGGCGACCCTACCGGCGGACCTTCGCTCCTCTGTCCAGGCCATCTTCGGTTCGCTCTTGCCCGACTCGGCACCGGACTCCATCCTGATGGACATGGTGCATCGCACGGTCGGCCCCCACCAACGGATGTTTCCCGCCCGCGAGATGTCCTATGCCGTCTGCATCACTACACCATGAAGGAGGATATCCTAAGACAGGCATGGTTAAAGAGGCCCGTGGAGTCTGATGGGGCCCCACTGCAGATCTTACCGGACATCTCCCGTAACACCCTCTGCCGCCGGGCCCTCATGCGCCCTCTCCTGGAGGAGATTCGGCGGGCTGGAGCTATCTACCGGTGGGGATACCCTATTCGTCTTCATGTCCGCAAAGGAGGCTCCACGTTTTTGGTCCGCTCCCGGGCGCATGTACCTGCCTTCTTTGAGTTCCTCGGAATCCCTGCCATACAACTCCCGGACTGGCTGGGCTTCTTCCCGGAGAACCTGAAGCCACACAGAACCCAACGGGCGCGTCGTTCTCCCTCCCGTGAGCCTCCCGCCCGACCAACCGAAGCTTTAATGGAAGCAGCGGAATCCTGAAAGGGGTGAGATTGTTCCTTGCTTTTCTCAGCCACCCACTCCTGCTCTCGTATGCACTGTGGACCTGGCCCTGTACCAACTTCGGGCCTCTGAGTAATGAGATGTAGTGAGTAACCCCCCTGACCCGGCCACTACCTCTTACTGCCACCCCGGTTCCTGCCCCACTTTGCCACATACCCGCTCCTCCTGGACATCCCAGTGGCCGCAGGTCACCCGCAGGGTCCCCCCGTATCGGGAGATCCCCGGGGCCTTTTTGGTTACCAACTGCCGTGAGCCCGTTCAAAGGTTCTGCTGCCCCTCGGGGCCCTTCTAACCGACAGGCCCTGGGAGTACAGTTCTCAGGTTTAAAATGTCATATTATGGTTGTGTATTGATGCGCATGTGTTACTATATAAATGGGAACTGTCTAGCCTGAGCCAGTGCATGGGATCACTTGCCGCAGGGGAGCTGGGAGCTTTGCCCCTTCATGGTTGCCAATGGGATGACCTCACACTTTAAACCCCTGGCGTTTGCCTCTGGCCCCAACGATGGGGGTGCCGGGGGGGTTCCTACGGGGGTCACCCCACCTACGCCACCCTACTCTGCTCGGCTGCTAGCTGCCGGGCAACCCAACCGCCCTGCCAGGAGGTTGTATTCATGATGTTACTGTTTTCGTACATGTTATATATTATATTGGTTTGTTTATTATATCGTGGTGTACTTGCGGAGCACCGCTCCGCCTAGGTGCAGATTCGTTTCCCCAGTTAGTTGGTCCCAAGAGTGCCTCAAGGGCCATTGGGACATTGAACCTCGGTTCACAAATTAGCCTCCCCCTTGTGTCCTCTCCCACTTCTAGGTATCCTATCTCCCCCATATCTCTGCTCAACCCATCCTTCCCACCCTACTTGTCTCCGTAAACCCTGCCTCCCCCCGCCCCACATCTCTCCTCCCCAACCTTCAAACCCACGCCTTTCCCCCTTCCTCTTTACCCCACAACATATTGGCCATGGCTTTACTCAAGATCCTCTCACTTAATGTGAAAGGCCTAAATGTGCCCGAAAAACTTAAGATGGTACTCTGTGATCTGCACTGCCAGAGAGTTCAGGTGGCCTTCCTCCAAGAAACTCACTTTGCAGAGGGGCCGGCCCCTCTGCTTCGTGACCGTAGATACCCGGTAGTGTACCATGGTTATTCTCCAGATAGGAAGTCGAGAGGAGTTAGTGTTCT